TACAATTTATTCCAGAACCACTGTCGCCAAAATCACACAAGTAAACCGATAATTATATATTCTACTACAAACAAACAATGCATTTGATTCGTTGCATATATTTCAGTCAAAATAAGCTTAACTCATAAATTTTGTAATTAAAAATGTATCTTATCACATTGTGATAGAATGTATTCTAAGGTAGCTGATTTCCTAGATAATTTTGTCTAAGAAATTCCGTTACTCACCAATAGGTGGCATTATTTAACAATTCAAACCATTATGAAACTTAACTTAAAAAAGTTAAGGTTTACATTTGCAGAATGCAGCTGCTATCCGGACAGTTATGTCGAAGAAATTCCGTTACTCACCAATAGGTGGCATTATTTTATCTATTTAAACCAATATAAACTTAATCTCTTTACGTTAAGGTTGAATTTTGCGAAATGAAGCTGCTATCCAGCTACTCGGCTAGTGAAGGGTAAAAGAGCACATTTAAATAAATTATCGATATCGATGAAAAATAAATCACTAAAACACTTAATCATGAGTTACGAAATAATTCCTGTTTTAGGGTTCCGTAGCAAATGGCTAAAAACTTATGGGGTGGTTGGGACCCAAACTCGCGGCAGTAAAACCTGCAAAGGTCCGCCTGGGTCGCGACTACCCTTAATCCGGAGTCTGGCGCCATAACAGCTTGCTGTGTGTGTTCCATCTGTGCGTGGAAGTTCCAGTGCCTTCAGGCAAATTTCAGCGCTCATAGCATGAGCCGTGTGAGAAGCGTTAGTCAGCTCTGTTGTAACATAATAATCTCGCTGTCGCGTTTGGGCCAGTATAGAATGAGCGGGACGGCATGATGATTTTCTCACGCGCGCAGTGACATACTGCTTTCACACAACTCATGCTAGGGGCGTAGGTAAGCTCACTCCATCCAAGACCTCGTCATTCATGCATGATTGAGGTCAAGAGGTTACCTGTATAAAGTAAAAAGGAACCCTTATAGTTACGCCATGTCACATGTCCATCTGTCCGTGAAGTTTCATTTGTAAAGTGATCATTAAATATAATCAATAACTCTGAGTATCGCAGTTAGTCACAAAATTAATGTAAGTAGGTAATAATAACATGATAGGACGTACCACAACCAAAACTCACCTAAATGGGGTGGTTGGGATCTACCTCCAAGTGGTCCACCCTGGGCAACGGCTTCACGTCTGTGAAGACGGCCAAAGATCCCAACTCGTGGTAGTAGGACCTGCGAAGGTCCGCCTGGGTTGCGACTGCCCTTCCATCGGAGCCTGGTGCCATAACAGCTTGCTGTGTTCCGTCTGCGTGTGGAAGTTCCAGTGCCTTAGGGCAATCTCCAGGTAAGCTCGCTCCATCTTAGGCCTCGTCATTGCTAACGCGGCACGGCAGGTCGAGCATGACTGAGGCCAAGAGCTTACCTGTATAACGAAAAAAAAGGACATAATGTTATATCCAGACACACTGCATTACTACTGAGCTATCGCATTCATCAATGACTTGTAATAAATTAAAATGAAATACTTAAGTAGGTACTTAGTAATTTATTGACCTTGAAATAAAACATATTTGTTCAGAAACTGGCGTTTTGACAATCTCACTTTTAATTTCAATAGGTGATGTATGCGAAGGTTTATATATTTTTCAACTATAGCCTTCATCAAATCGGTAACGTGGTTGGATGCAGGAAATTCTCCTAATTGATGAGAAGCTATATCGTTAAATATTTGAGTTCCTATAAACTTTCGCATAATTTGCGTTATCGCTGCATTTTTTCGAAACACTCCTATATCAACATTTTTTAAAAATATTTCGGCTGTTTGACAAATCTTCACAACATCTGGTGAAGGGTATAACAAGCCACCCTGATCTCTTGCAATTATAAACTTATGGATTGATTCAAAATGATGTGTTACCAAAGCGGAAACACAAATGTCACAGTTTATCTTTTTTAGTAATATTCGGACAATGTAACCAGCTATATAACCTATAGCTTGGTTACTAAAATCAGAAAAGTGGCCTCCTAGTTCTTCAATTTCTGATTCATCGTCAGTTTGGTCATGCTGTGACATATCTTGAGCAGTACTTTTGTTTATTCTTTCCACAGCTGATGAACAATTAAGAATAGATATCTGTTCCAAAGCCACACAGTTGCCTTTATTTGTGTCTTGTAATTGGGTGTGAATCAATATTTTTTTGTATGCTGATGTAAATTGTCTCGCCGTTGGATTATTGTTTGATCCACCTTGTGCTCTTATATTGCAGAAAAAAAGTTCTAAGTGGTCCTGACTTAACTTGTAAAATGGTAAATAAAGTAAAGTTTTGGTTTGGATCAAGCTTGAATATAAATGTTCCAAAGCTTTGATACAACCTAAAAACCCTAGGAACCCAGTTTTTCTCCGACTATTTATCAAAAGAGTACCGTTTTCCATTTTAAGATTCTGAATATATTCTGACGCTTCATTCAAAAACTCAAAGGTTTGCTTTGCGTTCTTCTCATTTAAAGCTTTTTTATAGCCGTACAAATGTAAATTTTTTGTATTAAATACATCAAAAAGATTATTACACATAATTAGAAATTTTTCAGTGGGTTCACTGTCATCAAAAGAACTAATTTTCGATTCCCTGCAATATTTAATAGCTTCAGCGACACTTATGCTGAACAGTTGAGTCGCTAATTTTACTTTCATGCGCTCATTTTGGAAATTAATATGACGGTCTCTTAATTTATTTGTGAGATGGAATGTTTCGTTGTATTGGAGTTTGTTAAGGTCCACAAGATGTTGCCACAGAATTTTATTTCCATCTTTATCTATAAGCATTTTGTTCATTTCAAATGTATTTCTAAGTAGTTTGATCATATGGCAGGGATCTAGAATCGCAACCAAAAGATCTTTTGTTACGGGGTGCTCAAACGTAACTTTTTGTTCTTCAAATGAGCAACCAAGGTTTTTCGCCATAGAAATATTAGCAGCACAACCGTCAAATGTAAGAGATACCACTTTAACGCCAGTATTATGAATAGCTTCCAAGCATAATTTTACAAGATTAGCACGCTGTTGTCCAGTCACACCATCCACCAGGAAATATCCAACAGGAACTTTAAAGTTACTATTTATTGCAGTAACTAAAAATACCAAAGCTTCCTTTGCTTCCGCCAAATGGTCACCGTCTACTTCAGTACCCATGTCAACATATCCATGAAATTTGCGCGTGTCCGTCAGGATGACTGGACCAAACGCAATATTTAGATGAGACCATGTGCACTATTGAATACCTATTTTCTACTATTTGATACCATTAATAAAGCATTTGCTACCTTTGTGTTGATATCAGTAATAAATAAATTAAATGACCAGTCATTCTGACGTCAGGTTGGCTGGCCACTGATGAGTTTTCATAGTTTTAGCGTTATATTTACCACTTTGGTAATGTAAATATTCACTACCTACGTGCTACTTTAACATATATTTTTTACACAATTTTGGAAAGCTTCTTGAAAAAGTTATCAATAAAATTCAATAAAACGCCTGCACAGAATTTTCGAAATTTTATGTCAGAATAATTGCTAGTAACCTTTTTGCAGACGCTTAGTGTAGTGCTTTAGATATTTTGTATTTATATAAAATTTCAAGTGATTGAGAAAGTGCCTGCGTACTCACATATTATTGACCTACCCATAAATAAATTTCAAATTCATGTAAAGAATATACTTATGAGTAAAGGCTATTATAAAGTTGATGATTATTTTAAGGATCGCAATGCATGGAATTAATAGCCTTCGCTTTGTTCTATAAAGACTAATTATATGTTCAACCTATGTCCTACAGACTTTGAAAGTTGTATTTACTATTGTGATAAATTGATAATACATATTATTTTGGTAATGACATGATTTATGTAAATGTCATTACTTATGATAAAAAGCTAATAAGTTTCTTCCGCTTGTTCTTCTTGTCAGCTAAAAGACGTCCTGAACAAGTGGTAGGGGAAAAAAGTTTTTTGGACGATTCAAAAGTGCTTGTAATAGCCTACTTGAATAAAGATATTTTCATTTCATTTCATTATTTGCAATTCATTTTAATACTAAAATTAGAACATTCGGGAGACAATAAAAAAAAGACAAATATTAGTTTTTTTTTATTTCAACTACCCACAATATTTACAACTGATAAATTATTGAGTACGAGTTCACTTTTGTTGTTTGTGGCGTTATAAATCTTGTTAAAACGATTCAGTTTTTTAATGTGTGAAATCGAGTTTTTAAGATGAAACGAGGTAGACAGTTAAAAGTGTCATTAGAAGATCAAAAAAAAGCTATTTCAAAGTTTGAAAAATATTTTTCTAGTAAAAGTGATCTTCCGTCACCGTGTGATCCAGTATTTAAAAATCTTAGTGAATTATTACAAAACAAGATGTCAGAAAAAGCTATATACCTATCAATTGTAAAAAATTACGATTTCTTTTTCGACAATCGCAGTTTAGTCTGTAATAAGCCCCAATCAGTAAACAATACAGCGATTACAACAACCCAGGCTTCTGGCTGCAAAACATTCGATTTTTACATAGATTTTTATCTGTGGCAAAAAATCCGGCCTATTGTACAATGTGTAAAAAGAAATAAAGACAAATTATCGAACTTTAGGACAAAAACTCTTTTGCCGAAACATCAGTGGGCTAATATTCTACGAGAAGAAATTTGGAAGACAATTCAAAGTCAGTGTAGCTGGATTTTCAAAAATTATTATATTAAGGATAACGATTGCATCGTTTGCGTTGGAGCTTGCAAAGAGTGTCGAGCGGCAATTAAAGTAATTATCAACTGGCCAACTGATAAAATTGCTAAATGTATTTGTACGATACGTAATTATAACAAAGACTGTCCACATAATTTAATAAAAAAGATAAAACTTTCTCCTGTTCAACGACGTGAGCTTGCAAATGAGTTAAAATACGAGTCTGCTATTGTAGTTAAGAATAAAATAACAAATTCAGTAATGAATGTAGGAGACAAGGAACCGACCCATCTACCCACTGTCGGTTGCCTACGGCAAATAAAATATGAAAACAGAAAAAGTTCTTACTATGATTCTAATGAAATGATGGCTCTGTGGATTATGTCTACGCTGGACAGCTTTAAAAAAATAATAAGACTAGTATCGCTTTTGCCTTTAAACGTATATTATTGGTCACCTGAGCAAGATAAATATTATAAAGATTATAGTAGAAATGAAAGGACAGTTTTAAGCATTGACGCCACTGGTAGCATTTTTAAGCCAGTTGGAGTAGGAAATATAAATTTATCGAAACAGATATTCTTCTATTCATGCGTAATGGCGTCATGCTACAATGAAAGCAGTGTTCCTATTGCCCAGCTAATATCTGACAGTCATACGTTAGATACAATACACAAATGGCTGGGTACATGGGCTAAAGACAAAAAAATACCAAATGAAGTAGTTATAGATGACTCAGCTGCTTTGATTGGTGCTGCGGTAAAAGCATTCACAAAATTTAATAGTACAACGGAATACGTTAACGATTCGTTTATGAAATTAGAAAAACAAGAACCTGCCCCAAAAAAATGCTTCATTCGCATCGATACGAGTCATTTTATAAAGATTTTGTTTAATTTACCTTGTTTTAAACATATTGATCAACGGGTGAAATTTTTTTACATAAAGTGTCTATTAGAAATTAAAGAATGCGACGATTATAACACATTGAAACTAATTCTCACAGATATTATCACTTTGGCCTTAAATAAATATGATGGTGTTGACATTGATGGTAATAAAACGAGATGTGAAGAAGCAAAAGATAGGCTGAAAAAATTACGATCTTTTTCACGAACTATAGATACCGAAATTGTGATCCAAGATAGTAAAGAAATAGACAACTTTGAATCATTGAAGAACTCTTCTTTTGAAGATCTGGAAGCTTCATGTGAAACCGTTCGGGAAGTAGGAGTTGATGTCAAAAGTCCTAAATGGTTCTATGATGCTATAGAATCTGAAAAATTGATTATTACCTTAACAGAAAGAGACCTAAATAATGTTCATGATAACTTGTTCTATTTCCCAGACTTTTTGAACACTTTAACGAGACTTGTAGGTCAACTTCCGTTGTGGTCTAATATTATGAAAAATATATATCATTCAAGCATATTAAATCCTACATCGTCAAACGTGGAGAGTTATTTTAAAAATGTAAAAAGGCATTTATGTAGAATCATCAGTAAGAGTGACAGATACCGTGTAGATGAGTTTTTTATGAAGCACTTAGAATTCTTATCGGGTGAATTAAAAGGTGCTATTAGTAACTTAAAAGAAGGTAAAACAAAAAAAGCAACTGAAAAAAGAGAACGAAAAAAAGCACTGCCAAAGACTGTAAAAGAGGAGAAGAATATAGAACATGCGGTAGAGTCTATTTTTACGGAAAATCCAAGCTTAATAGAAAACTGGCGAGGACTAGCTACAAAAAGAGAAAAAAGAAAAACCATTTCCGAGAAGGAGACACCGAAGGTTATTTTATTGAAGAATGGATTCAAAGCTAAATTTACCGGGACAAAAAAATTGATCGTTAAGAATACCTGCGCTTTTGATTCTGTCTCACAAGCAATCGCTGTTGCGGTTGTGGATGGTTTTTGTATAGGCCGAATTGTAAATACTAGTAATGAAGTTTACTGTAAATTTATCAAAATGCTTATTAGCAATGCTTCATTTCAAAATATTTACGAGAGTCGAACTGAAATTCTGAAGCAGTACTTTAATACAGAAAACACATCTGACGACAGAATCATTATTAGTTGTGAATGTAATGTAACGCATATTTTTGAAAAGATTCTTATCGATGTAATATATAGTGCAGTTAGAATCGAATCATGTACAAATGCTGAGTGCCCAGTTAATAATGTTAAGCGTAAATGTGCCTTTTTGCCTTTGGACTTAAATATAAAATCATTATCGTTATCTGCCAATTCCATGATAAACCCTGAAAATAACATGTCTGTTTGTCGTCATACAGGATGCTCAGGTATCAAAACGTATGAATATGACCTAAAGGACTTGATAACTTTTGAACTTAATTCTGAAGAAGAAATATATTTAAATGATATAGAAAGTATGATTACATTGAAAAATATTGAATATAATTTGGCATCAGTTATAGAGTTTGTTCCTTCTGAATCGGCTTCGATCGACAGAATTGGTCATTATAAATCTCACTGTCTTAGAGGTACTTCATTTCAATGTTACGATGACATGTCAAATCGGGTAACTAAGAGTCGTAAAAAAATGTTGGTCCATTGCATAATTTACGGAAGAAAATATACCTAAGTACCTAATAATCTTGATTATTTTGTATATTTTTTTTAAAGGATTTCAATGAAAGTACCAAGATAATCTTCTTGTTCTTTTATTTTTGACAATCCCCGAACACACCAAAATGCCTGAACCTAAATTATTTAAGTTGCAATTGATTAAGTTAACTAGTATGTTCACAGTCACTTTCTAAATCACTTGAAATTTTATATAAATACAAAATATCTAAAGCACTAACTAGTCACTAAGCGCCTGCAAAAAGGTTACTAGCAATTATTCTGACATAAAATTTTGAAAATTCTGTGCAGGCGTTTTAATGAATTTTATTGATAACTTTTTCAAGAAGCTTCCCAAAATTGTGTAAAAAATATATGTTAAAGTAACACGTAGGTAGTGAATATTTACATTACCAAAGTGGTAAATATAACGCTAAAACTATGAAAACTCATCAGCGGCCAGCCAACCTGACGTCAGAATGACTGGTCATTTAATTTATTTATTACTGATATCAACACAAAGGTAGCAAATGCTTTATTAATGGTATCAAATAGTAGAAAATAGGTATTCAATAGTGCACATGGTCTCATCTAAATATTGCGTTTGGTCCAGTCATCCTGACGGACACAATTTGCGCCCATCCCATTCCACACGGCGATGAATGCTCATTTCGTCCATTACTAAGCTGGCTAATAATGGTTGGCTTGACGACTCAGCTTTTTGCTTCAAAGCAGCTAGTGCTTCTTTAGTGAATCCGGGTTCTCCAGCTACTTTTTGGTACCAATTTTTTAAGGTACGTGTATGTGGTAGGCTTGTATGGAATGTTTTGCGTACGTAGTCATAAGCTTTAGGCGAATAATAATGTAAGGTCAAAGCAAAACTTCGCAGTGCTGGTGAATATTTTTTTCTTGATATGACTCCAGATTTTGTATTTCTGATTTCACGTGCGATAAGTTCTTGAACCTATAAACATAAATTTTGTAAGTTAATTTTAAACATTCTGAATCAAGCAAAGCGTTTAGGATGGATGTATATACATATATGTACATACCCACATATGCACGTACACAAGTGTACACATACACACACAGACATACACACACACACACACGCGCACACGCACGCACGCACGCACGCACGCACGCACGCACGCACGCACGCACGCACGCACACACACACACACACACACACACACACACACACACACACACACACACACACACACACCATACACTCTTTTTTGTGACAGTCGTGTAAAAAGAAGTAAAAACAAACCTGTATGTTAGTATTTTTTAGACAGTCTAAATTTTCCATTTCCATAGCACATTTTTCTTCTAATTTTTTTAGTATTTCGTCTATACTATTTATTTTCTTTTTAAGTCTTTGATTTTTGGTTTGCAGTCGTTTAATTTTTAGACCCTGTTTTCTAATTTTTTCTTCGCAAAAGCGAATCTGGCCTTTTAGTTTCTTTTTCCTTGGCGTAGAACACGAAGAACTGCTTCTCGTTTCTCTTACTGTAGAATGGGGCTGAACAGAAATGTTCTCCTCATCTCGTTTTTGAGAAAGAACGGGTTCAACTTTGTGGCTTTTTACACAACCTTCATCCACTCGAGTAACTTTTTTTGGCTCAGTATTAATATCAGAGCCCTCAGCATCTGCTTTTCTTTTTGAAGGACCAGGAGTTGCATCATGCAGCTGAAATATAACACAAAATGTTTATTTATTTTTTACTTCATACAGGTAAGCTCTTGGCCTCAGACATGCCTGACCTGCCGTGCCGCGTCAGCAATGACAAGGCCTAAGATGGAGCGAGCTTACCTGGAGATTGCCCTATGTCACTGGAACTTCCACACACTGACGAAACACAGCTAGCTGTTATGGCACCAGACTCTGGTGGAAGGGTAGTCACGACCCAATTTAAAAAAAATTGACCTTCCCATACAATATTACCAAATGGGAAAGTCAGTATTTTTAATTTTTGACAGTAAGCTTCTTTGGGAATGTTGTTCAGTTTCATGGTCTGAGTCTTGGTTTTAATTTATTACTCGTGGTACAAGACCCACCCTGTATACCACTATTGCTTCGTACGTGTTAGATTTGGATATAAGGGCGCTTGTGCACTACACTGAATTTTCAGGTCCGGCGGTCCGATTTTTTCCGGTCCGGAATGACATGAAAAACCCGGATGAGTAGCTTGTGCACTTGTCCGTTTTTTTCCTGATCGGAGCGGCGCAGTGTAGGGCAGCTCTCTTTGAAGCTACACGTCACTTACGCTAGGTACGATGAGATTTTTGGAACGTCGGTAATTCCGTTCGAAGACGTAGAAAGGTACCTAAATAATGATCTGATAGTTTTACATAAACCATAATAAATTATGGCAAGACGAAAGCATTTTTGTTACTACTATCGGATAACTTATACCCTTACTAATTTAGGAACAGCATTATTCACATAAAATAGCTAAAAATATCTGTGACATTAGAATAAAATTACTGATAATGGTCTAGTACTTGATGTTTAAATTTTTAAACGTGCTATTTTTTTTTCGAAGTTTTGTAAAAACAACTTTCAGCGATTACAGAGATAGACCAATCGGTGGCGCCATTTCGTAAACAAATCGAAATTAGTGCCGTGTTAGCGGAGAATTATTATGCTAAATGAACTTTACGATATCAGTTGACTGTATTATATAGGCATAATTTTATACGCAAGGTGTAGTTTCTTTGAGCAGAAATATTATTCCCTTAGAATACTTCTTTTTTTTAAATTTATCAATGACACAAACATACATTTAAAATTTTATTAAATGCGACAAAGACATTGAGTGTCACTTAATTACTTTTGTTAATCTTCTGTTTATTCTTTATTATTACTTCTGTTGTCAAATATTTATCTATATTTATCAATTGTCAAAAAAAATTGATAATGACAAATTTCCAGGCAAACTTTCATCCCCTATTTTTCGCGATAAAATGTAGCCTATGTCCTTTCTTAAAGTTAAGTCTATTTACTATATTAATTTCCATTTAGATGGGTTCAGTTTTTTAGGCATCTAAGCGTAACACTTATTTATCTTACCTTAAGCTATCGATACTTTTAATACGATTCTAAAATCTAAGTATCGATACTAGAACCATACGCTGATCAAATTAGAACTATACCGAGTTTGCCAAAGCTTATGCAGTGATATATACCAACTATATTAAATCATCATATAAAATATAGCATTTTATAATCAACAATAAATATTGATTATAAGTTTATTGGAAATTAACAATATTGCCGAAATAAATATCGATTCAAGTCGATTATTTTTTCCCAAGCCTATTCCTTATGAATTTTCCGGATCTCGGACACAGCAGTGCACAAGCGTAAACACGTTTTTCATTGCCGCCATCACGGACCTGAAAAAACCGGTCCGGAATAGAGAAAAGTAAAATTCCGGACGGTAAAATTCCTGACAGTGCACAAGCGCGCATTACCTACATATGGCCTGACATATCGGACCTGAAAAAATCGGAGCGCCGGGCATGAAAATTCAGTGTAGTGCACAAGCGCCCTAACTCGAAATCATACTAAATTCAGCTTGACAATTTTTTTTCCTGAAACTTTAATGAAACAAAGCTTGAATTTTAATTCTAGCAAAGTTCTATAAAACACTAAAAAATATTAATGGGGTCTCCATACAAACAACGTGTTCTTTGCTCAATATTAATAACGGTAACAGGTATAATATTTACTTGTATTCAAAATAAATCCTACTAATATTATAAATGCGAAAGTTTGTGTGTCTGTTTGTTTGTTTGTTTGTTACCGCATAACAATCCAAATACTTAACCAATCGGGCTGAAATTTTGCACACATATAGCTTATAATCAGGAGCAGGACATAGGCCACTTTTTATCCCACGGGATCTCATATTTCCAACGGGAACCTAGAAAACCCTATATTTCTTAACACGGACGATATTTGTAAAACAAGTAGAGGTATTTTATGAAAATGAAACAGGAACGGCTTCCAAGAATCCCACGGGAGCTTTTTTTATTCACGGGAACCCAAAATTACTTACTACGCGGGCGGAGCCGCGGGGCATTCGCTAGTAATTAAATAACAATAAAGTAAATATTAAAGGGGCTTCCATACAATAAACGTAATTTTTAAGCAATTTTCTATTATAGATGATGGTACGGTACCTTTCGTGCGTGAGTCCGACTCGCACTTTGCCGGTTTTTTTCTTACTGGTATAGTTCTCGTTGGCTTAATATTATATTGAAACATACAATTATCGGATAAATAAAAAATAATGATCACTTACTTGCTCAAAGAACCTAACTATCTTGATAGTTGGTACTGATGAAGGTTTTGTATATCTATATCCTTTTTTCGATATTAAGAAGTCGTCTTCTAAAAAATGTTCAGAGCATATAGTACTTGATTTTTTTGGTATCCAATTAGCTCTGCCCGTTGCATCTGTCCATTTTTCTTTGATACTAGCATCTTTAGGAAACCTAAAAAGTGCAGTTTATAATTTAGCAGGAAATAATTTAATATTGTATGTAAATATGGGTAAATCGCCTTGATAAACTTGCTCCTTGTGATCAACAAAAAAACTTTTTATCATTAGTTTGCATTTAAAAAATAATCTAAAATATCGATAAAATCAGTATCGACCTAATTATGTACGTCCCTAATTGAGTAGCATGGAAGTTACTAGAACAATTTAGTTACACTATCAAATTCAAAATGCACTTTATTTTTTTTTTTTTTTTTTTTTTTTTATTTAATTATCAACTAACTTTGTGGTTAACATAATTTGGTTTACTTGCATCATGTAAACCACTAAGGTTCGTAACACATGCAAGAATTTATATAAATTACATTACAAAAAACTTAAATAACTATATGACATTACATAATACAGATTAATATTTGTTTTAATATATTAATTACAATTATTTTAATTACTTCAATCACATATAAAAATTAAGGAGATTCAAATCAATCACATTTTTTGACAACCCAGCAAACGCTTTGATGATGGTACTATTCTAAGAAAGAAAATATTTTTTTAATTCGTATTTAATATTTTTTTCTACAAGTTTATCTCTAAGATCGCACGGTAGTTTATTTATCAAACGAGGTAGAATAAAATCAATAGTCCTCTCACCGTACACGTTCGTAGCTCTGCTTGTGCGTAGCCGGTTTTGTGCT